CCGCGGCTTTCACCCGGACGAACATCCCACTGGGATTGTCTTGGAGGCAGAGAAAACGGTGATGCAGTATTCTAAAAGGTAATAAAAACTGAAGTAGAAAAGTTGCAGTGTGAGGTAGTCTCGAAGCTGCTGAGGTTTAACGAAACGTTGGACCGAATAATGTTCCTCTCTCTCAGTCTCGGCTAACGGGTTTCGCCAAAATTCCACAGCTGGTGTGCACATCATTTTCCCCACAAATCCCGGAGCAATCACTTTTTTCATGCAAATTTCCACTAAAGGATGCGAGGGTGACTGCGTAAACGACACCTACACCGTCTTCCTCATCCTCTTTTCCTCACAGTTATTACGATATTTTGCAAACTATCCATCTAAAAAATGTTTCACTTTCTACTGTGAATGTTTCGGAAACAGTCTTTAATCAATATATGAAAGAATAGTTAGTTTTGAGCTGACTGAAAGAAACAGCTTCATGAAAAGTAAAGAACGAACTAACCCTGTTACTCGCACCCAATCTTTTTTCGAAACGTGAATAGGTGACCAATTCAGGAAGAATATAACTGAAAAGACCGAAGCAGTTAAAGCTTAACAGTATGATAGGAGAATCGATGAAAATGGATGATGAGAAAGAATCATTAAATAATGAAAACCATATCCACTAATTTAACCCTAAAAATATCAATAATAAATACCAGGAAATGGAAAGATAATAAATATCAGAAAATAACTAAAAAAGCCAAAATTCACTAAAAATGAAGTTCCCGGACTATGAATATCAAAAGTCGAAGCTCCCTCCATATTTCACTAAGTATAAAAGGTAGAGGCGCTTAGAGGCAGATCGACTATTTTTAGCAAGCATTAACAGCAACCACCCACTGGCAAGCCTTTCGATGACTTCTTTTTTCGAAAAAAAGCAAACTGTTTATGATATCACAGATATAAATATGGTGAGTTATATGTAAAAATGGTGAGCTCGAAAAAAGTGGAACAGAGAAATTGCCAGATGCATCAATAAAAGAAAAGAACACAACGATGTTGGCCGGAACTGACTAGCGGTATCACAAATGAAGTTTATTTTTCGGGATCTAAAATCTGGCATCCGTGCAACTACACTTATCCTCATACTACCAGCAGCGATACATCAGAACAAAGGGCACCAATAGCTGTAGAAGATGCATATAAAAAAAATTAGTAAAATAAAAAAGATTTACGTGGACTCATCATCGGAGGATGTATCCATGCTCGTATTTCCGCCACCAGCCGTCGTACTTTCCTGAATTCCCTACAAAATAAAAACTGACAAGCGCAAAAACAAATAACGAAAAAACATAGTTCGTGGTGCGAATGTTTCT